AGAGGCAATCAATCGGCTTAATAAGTAATTCCGAGGCACGGTTGCACGAAACGAAGGAGGTCATGGGTAAAATACGGAACACAGTGGGAAATTCCGCATCGAATGAGGGGGATAGTACAAATCCATGTCAAACAAAGGAAAACGTGGAGTCTTGGCATCCTGGCTTGTGCTGTTGATCACGATGAATAGTCAGACAGGTAGAGCATTGCAGCACAGATATGAAAGGCGTTCGTGAGGTATCGGATCGCATGACAGTGCATCTCATCCGTTCCACTATGACCACACCAGAACACCATGCTGTTCCTATTATCTGCAACTCAACGAGTTCCTACCATTTCTCAGCTCGTTGCCTGAAGCAAGGTGAGATGAATTCCTTACTCAGGGGAAGAGTAGTTGTCTAGACAGAATTTACCTTGCCTTTTCTTGGGATTCGAACCTGTATCTGCAGAGTTTGAAGCGGACCTCTCTGCCATCATACAACCTCAGTCCATTAACAATATATTTATTGCTAATTATTGATATTCCGATTCATGATGTAATTAAACGAACCCCAGTTCTGGGTGAGGTGTAGAGTACCACTGAGTTTGATTATCGGAAAAGAAACAACACATTTATACGACATAACAGTGAGTATGTGAAAAGAAAACTGAAACTTCCAAATGAAGCAAGAAACAAAGAAATTCTACCTCATGATTCAACACAATTAATCTTGATTTGAATTTTTAAATTAAGCACGGAAATAGGTCTCATTTTCTATATATGGCGAAGACTGACGGCGTACAAGCGAATTTGTGAAACGGAAAACATGCTATGGAATTGAATAAAAACAGGTTTGGCAAGTAATTTCAGGCACGACCGATGGAAATAAGCCTTGATTTCACATGGCATGTGTAATACAAGCGCATAATCGAAACTTGAGTTTTGCCAAGGTGATTCATCAGACGAAAAGAGGCGAAAATCAGGTGGGCAAAATAATAAAAGCATAGGAATCAAGCTTAGGGAGGATCGAAACAGAGGGACGAAAATCAACCTTGTTTTTGGATACGGCCTGCAGCCTAGTTATGAGCAAGGTATTTCTTATGTTAAGTACGTGCCATACGGGCAGATGACATAATGGTCAAGAAACGTACAGGCAAAGCATAAAGACCAGTGTGTCGTAAACAGCTGAAAACTAAGTATAACAAATAAATAATGCAAGTTGGTTGGTGCAAAGAAACGGCGTCTCTTATGGGCAGGAGCTGCACCGATAAAAAGAAGCAGGTGAGAGTGAACAAAGAAAAAAACAAATGCAGACTATGACAGAAGAAACGAGTTTATAGCTAGACGTTGGATCAGCGTAAAAAAAGAGGTGAAGAAACCTACTTAGTCTCATTTACAGCTATGACGGTATTTCGAGAAAGTGAGGAAAGAGGTTCTGAGAATGAGCGAGAGCAAAGCAGAGGGGAAAACATGTATACGGAATGAACACATAAATATATTACGAAATGGATTCTCTTACAATTAACACTGGGTTGTAGGCCCCTTAAATGGCACTCGAAACCTTTAAGAAAAATAGAACAGTGAGACTGTAAATCCAGGGGATTGTAAAGAACTTGCTGTTTTCACAAGTTGCAGTAAAAACTGTTTGTGGTTAATAACTTCATGGCATGAGTTATCGTATCCAAATTGATTGGTAATGAAGAATTTAAAATGAACTAATTTATCATCGTGAAAAATGGGTGGAATTAGTCTGACGGTAATGAAGGGTACAGTATGTTTTGGATATTATTTACACAGGAGCAACCACCTGCAGAAGAAAGGCAAAAGAAAGGATCATAATGTAATTAAACGCAGCAAAACTTGCCATTCTATGGCTTGCATCACGAATCAGTCTAATTTGTAAATTACAACAAGGAATGGACTTGAAATAGAACTTGCGGTCAAAGAAGGGCAAACGCTTGTGTACCGAGCCATCGAAAGAAGAGTATGCTATCAGGGAAAGGTAGACATACGAGTTGCTGGACAGAAATGAGATCTTTAAACTGATTCTCAAGCTCTTACCAGTCGCCGATCCTTAGTACATAATTTGCAGCATAATTACATCAGTAATAAAATTATTATGCTTATGCATAATAGATCCGATTTGCTAAATGAACTGCTGTACTTTATGGAACAAGACTTTCACATCAT